CGGTGGGGGTCATGTAATGAGTCAGCTGTAATGGAGAAGTCCCGTGGAATTAAGCAAGAGATAAAATCAATATGGTTCCATAGAAATATAATTGGGTTTTGTAGAGATTGCTCTTAAAAAACCTATAAGGTGTAAAAGAAAATATGGCCTTATTGTGGTTTCTGAGCCATCATGTAACTGGGGTGTAACTATCCATTAAATTCTGCAGGATGGATCAAAAAAATCCATAAGGAGGTTTTAATTCTCCATTAAATCCTATGGAAGAGCTGGAACAGAACCATATTAATTTTCCCTGAGACAATCATTCTTCCCTCCATTAGTCTGTAATAGGTTCAGCAACAGCTCCATGGACAGCAGGTGTATTTACACGTGCATGTTTTCATGAAACTTTTTCCAAAGTCCCAACAGCTAAGTAATGCTTTATTAAAGTGAAACTGTCCAACTTAACTAATATTTTCCTTTCCCCCTCCCCTTTTTGTTTCTTTATTAAATAGGATTTGGCTTCGTAACTTTTGAAAATGAAGACGTGGTGGAAAAAGTCTGTGAAATTCATTTCCACGAAATCAATAATAAAATGGTAAGTTGTTTTTGCTCCGCAGCACGTGTCGGTGGCAGCGAGCTCTTGCCCCTTGTCACAGATGTCTTCCAGGCCTGTGGTGGCCCTTTGGGCCACCCTTCTCCGAGAGGTTAATAGGGTGCTGGGCGGGGGTGTCAGGGTCACGGGATGCTGAGGAGAAGCCCTTCTTCTCCACCACTGCTCTTGGGAAGAGACGAACGCCTGCTTTGGGGGTTTTCAGGAGGGACGTGGACTGGAACAGCCGTTCCAGACCGTAGGCTCCCAAAATAGCTGTTCTGGTCAAGCTCCTGGCTCCTGATGCTGCTCGGAGGTTGGTGCTGGACCGTGGCCCCCGGGCAGTCGGGGCTCTCTGCCGTCGAGCCGCAATCGCTTCCCACCCAGGCCCAACCCAGGAGCCAGACCAGGGTGAAGTTTCTCCGAAATGACAGTCAGGTCTCAGGTTGCAGGTTGCCCTGTCAGTAAAGCCACTGAGCCAGGCGAAAAAGGGCATTTGTATTTCAATTGATGCAGTAACTTTGATATTTTCAGCTAAAATATTCTTTTTCCCTTTGTCAAAACATCCTTTGCTTCTCAAATGTGTATTCAGATATGCATTGTATATTGGTCTGATATGTGTTCACAGACTTTAAATTCAATAATAGAGCTTTTAGTGTGGATAAGATCAAAGCAATCTCCTTGGCATATGCTGGAGGCCTGATTCAATATTTGACTTGCTAATTTTTTTCCCAGGGCACTGAAATAATATTCCTCATATTGTTCCTCACTGCAATATGCATCTGAAATAAAAGTAAGGGTCCCCTTGGCAAAGTGAGTGGTGGGCTGGCCGGGCAGGGCCGGGGCAGTTCCCCTCGCCCTCGGGAAGCCTCTCGCTCCCTCTCGGATGCGTTGCTGGGCTTTCCCTCTGCCCTCTCCACGCAGGTCACTGCCTCCCCAGCTGCCTCCTGCTCCCGGGAGCTGCTTGCCACCGGCCACCTCACCTGAGATACGTGTAGCCTGGGGGGGAGGCTCATTCCCCTGGACATAACGTACTAAATGCTGATTAATCTGCCTTAAAACCAAACAAAAAGGACTAACCCCAACTGCCCCCAGCTCAGCATCCAGATGACAGACCCAACAACAAATTAGAAAGGCTTGGAGTCTGAACCTAGGTGAAGTTGTCAGTTGGGAGGGAGGAGCTGCAGGGCCACACTCAGGGTTTTCCTACCGCGGGTGGGTGCGTGCTGTGTCGTCGTTATTTCACACAACAGGTTTTTCTCCGGAGCGAGGCTCAGCCTTCGCCCGGCACAGCCCGGTGTCACGCTGGCGCGGTGCTGGGGGTAGGCTGGAAGGAGCAGCAGGGTGCTGGTGCATCCCGGCAAAACCGGGGCCGTGCAGATCTGACCCGGCTGTCGGCAGCCCCCTGCGAGGGGAGGAGCCGTGGGAGAGCTGTTGGGAGGATTTCTTCCCAGATGAAAGGCTGCACGGGAAGGTAACAGCAGTGCGGGGGACGTGGAGGATGGGACAGGGTGAAAACACTCAAGGAACATCACAAAGAGCAGAAGAAACAGTGTAGGCTGTTGGTGTTTGGTTGTCGCGGATAATTAAAGGATATTCTTCCCGGCTCTCTGTGCCGGCTGGGTGCACGATCCAGGTGCCACGATGCCTCGAGCGATTTCTTCTTGTCACTTCTTCTACAGCGCTAATTTTAAAAGCAGCCCACGAGGGAGGAGATGAGGCATGATCCTGTCTTGGGACTGACTCATCTTATCGCTGATGTGTCTGCAGATTAATTACCAAACCCGCGCAAGGCCCCGAGAGCTTGCGCAGGCATGTGCGACCGGGAGCTGCCGCAGCTGGCGGGAGGTGACACGCCGCTGGCGGGGGTCGGAGGGACCTGCGGACAGACTTTCCGCAGCCCCTCGGAGACTGACCGCTCTTGCTTCCTTTTTAACATGCCCCCCTCTAGCGTTGAGCTGCGAAGGAGACGGGTTCTCGCAGCCCCAGCTCCAGGCGATGGGTTTGCAGCCGCTGGGTGAGCTGGGGCAGGGACCCCATCCCCGTCCCCAGCTGCGGGCACCCGCTCGCCCTGAGCTCACTCTTCCTCATCTCCTGGGTGCTTTCATTTCCCAAAACGCAGGGGCAAGCACAGGGTAGCGGGGCTGCTGTTGTTCACGAGCCTATTTCTAGCCTCCCGTCTCCCTGGCAGGCTATTTTTAGCCCGCCCATTCTGCTTCTGTTGCCATCCGTAAAGCTTAGAATGTCAAATGTAATATTAAACGAGCAGTGTGAAAGTGAAAAGAAAATGCCAGTGAGGTATTTCATAAATGAAACTTGGAATTTACGTGGGAGGCCAGAGACACTCTCAACGTTGCAGGGGGGAGGAGGAACAAATAAAACCCAAACAAGCGATCCCCAGAATATTGTTCCTTCGACACGAGCAGGCTGATTTGCAAAGAAGAACCTGGTTTTCTAAGAGGGCGCAAAAGTAGCTGAAAAAAGAAACTTGATGGAGTAATTTGTGTTCCTGTAGATCCCCCTGTGATAGCGTCGTTCACATCACAGGCTGCGGTGGGGCAGGCGCCGGCGAGGGGTGCGAGGAGCTGAGCCTGGCCCAGGCGCTTTGCACTGAAGTCAGGATCTCAAGTCAGGCCCTGGAGCAGCTGACAGAAACGTTAGGCTGTTTTGAAACCAGCTTTGGCGCTGCGTAGCACCTGTGGCTGTTTCTCATGGTGGGATTTTGTGGGTTTTGTGGGGGTTTTTTGATGTATCAGCACTCTGCAAGCTTCTCCCCGGACTGGCAGCCTTTGCCGTGCGGGCGACGTTTTAGACGTGTATCACACACAGCACGTGCCTTCGGGTTTTCATTCAAATACTTTGTAGTCTAAGACACTTCCATCTAAAGACTAAAGGAAAGACTAAACTGGGCACCACCTGCAGAAGGCAGGAGGGAGCACGCGGCCGCTGGGGTCCAAGGTCCCTGCAGTAACCGGGAGTGGAGGAAACACAACGTGCAGTGAAGAAGCCACCTCCGGCCTTGCGCAGACATTTTGAGAAGCCGCTGGGTCCTTTGATAGCTGGATGCAGAGAACAGCCTCCAGAGGTGCTGCTGGCCCTCGTGTGTGATCCTGCTGCCTCTCCAGTTGGCGTCTTACTGGTGGTGGCAACGGGTTTGCTGGCTGCGCTGGGGGACGGTGGAGCCTAGCGCAGGGGAGGCGCACGTCGTGCTGCTCGCCTGCCTGCAGGCACCACCCTGGGCTGCGGGCGGTGGAGGTGGTGGAGGTGGATGGTTCTGGAGCATTTGGGGAGACTTGGTTCTGGAGCAGATGTCTTCGGGGAGGCTTGGCCAACTGACCCTGCCACCTCTGCGTACAAAGCATCTGTGTCAGGGAGCGGCTGCGGGGCTGAGAATGAGACGTGGCATTGGCTTGCCCAGAGGGCCTGTCAGGGAGCAAAGAGGAAAGTTAAAGGAGGTGAAAGAAGCACCTTGGCACTCCCTCACCCCTCCCAGCCCTCCGTGGGGGCATTAAGCCTTATTTCAGACTCAAAGCAAATAACCGGAGAGTTAAGAAACAATCTCCAGTGGCCAGAAATGAAATGTGGCAGCTCCAGTTCAAGGACCCTCCTGCGATCCCTGGGAAACTCTTTTGGAGTTGGGGTTGTCCCTTCATTCGACACAACTGTAGGACCTACCGAAAGCCAACGGGGGCTGTCTGGGGGGTGTCTGGTTGGCAACAGGGCACAGGAAGGTGTTGCTGCTCGTTGTTTACTGTTGGATCACTCCCAGCCCATAGGTTGTTGTGGGAGAGCGTTTTCGGGCACCGCTGTGAACTGTCGTGCCCAGAGGCCGACGGCCGCGGTGACGGGTTCTCTGCAGGGGTCTCACGGCCGTGGTGGTGCGCGGGAGAGACTGAAGCTTTGGAAGCCCCATCAGTCAGCCGAAGGGCGCTGCAGGGCGCGGGCGGGTTGGGCACATTCCCACCGCGGTGCCTTCGGCGTGCTGCAACGGCCGGCGCTGTGAGCTGTCCGGTGACGCCGCGTTGCCAGGTTCTCCAAGCGTGGCTGGGCCCTCCCACCCACACCGGGCAAGAAGGAGCTGCCCAACGCTGGGTGTGATCGGGTGTTTGGGGACAAACTGAATCGATAAATCTTGAGAAACTCTGGCAGACTCTTCTGCTCACCCATGGCTGCCGACTTCTCTTACAGTCTGAGGACACGACATCCCATTGTCCCCACCCCACCTTCGGCAGTGATCGAACATTTTTAAATACGTTTCTAACCTTTCTCCTGTTGCCTGGTGCAGCCCTGCCTCTGCGGCAGGACTGGGGGAATACAGATTTCTCTGTTAGAGGAGCGATAGTTTTGGCTTGCCAAGGCCTGGACAGCATGGCGTCCCCAAGGCAATCGAATCGCAACTAACTGTGAATCACACATTGCTGGCAAGACAAAGTTGCCTTGTCTTTGGGTGGTAAAATGGTTTTTTGTGCATTGTGAATATGTGCGCATTCTGCTTTCCTCAAAATAGCCCTGGTTTCCCTGGAAAGCTCTCAGCCAGGGGTTTTTTGAGACATCCTGGTGCTGAGAGCTGACAGCCTGTTTTGTTGCTCTGGGTATAAGAGGCTTTTCACTCCCCATCTCAGCCGTCCTGGGTTCTAGTGGCTTTGACTGCTCGGCTTGACCCAAGAGTACCCCAGTGTAACGTTAATTCTTCAAACTAGACTAAACAAAAATAGTGAAATTTAGTTTCCCTGCCTTTTTTTTTTTTTTTTTTTTTTTCAGCCTTAGAGTTAAAACTTTCTTTGTTAGGCTGCTGAAAGTGAAGTACATCCCTCGTACGGGGGAGGTGGAAAAAAATCTGGAAATTATTAAGATGTACAGAAACGCTGAACTGAAAGTTTGTGCGAGATCCAAATTTATGTACAAAGTACCCGCATCGGGCGGGCTCTTGGGGGTGATTCGGTACGGAGCTGAGCACCGTAAATCCAGACACGTTCCCTCTCGGAGAAGCCCCCCTGCCCATCCCGCTTTGCCGGCACGTGTGTGACGTCTCTGCTGCCTCCAGGGCTTGACCCTCGCAGTAACCGTGGCTGCAGGATGGTTACGGCCATCTCCATCCCATTCCCTGTGAAGGACAGGGCTGGCTTCTTGCAGAAAAGCAGCCCGGCCCCTTTTTTTTCTGCTTTTGCTGTCTGTGTTGGCGAAGAGGCACCATCCAAGCCCATCGCCTGTCTGCTAACGTGGTGCTTCACCTCCTGTTGCTGCATTTTCCCCTTTTGCCAACGGGATGGTGCGTGGCAGCTTCTGCAGAGCACCTCGAGGCCTGATGTGGCTGAACGGGGAGTGTCAAAATCCGCCCGAGGCCGGGGGTCACGCAGCCCCTTCCCAAGGGATGGCAGAGCGGGGCCAGGGCTCCTGGTCTGGTGTCATCCCTCCCAGGGGGAAGAGTCTCTGCTGGATAAAGGAGGATAGTTTTGTCCTCCGTATGGGGTATATTTGTTTACAAAGGCTTAGGAATTATTTTTCTTTCCTACTGGTGACTTTTTCTTCCCCTTTAAATCCCAGTTAAAACTTCTTCGCAGCTCGCTGCCATTCCCTTTATATCCTCGTGTGCTGTGAAAATCATAAATTACGCTAGTCTTTCAGAGAGCAGCAGTAGGCTGTTTTGTGGTTGCAAAAGCTAATTACTGGGTTATTGTTTCTAACGGTGCTAATCCAAACTTCATTTTCCTGTTAATTGTCCGTCGAGCCAGGCTAGATTGTTTTTATCATCCTGACTGTTCGCAGCGCAAGCGGCCGCGAGGTGTAACCAATGCCGCCGTGACATTTGGAGCGGAGGCGAACCCGAAAAATGTGGTGGCGAAATGAAATGACACACTTCTGGTGCTCACCCCCCGTCACTGGGCTGGAGAAATTAGATTGGCAGACTCCCGTTCGATGCCCCTCTGATTAAAAACAAGCAAAGGACAGTGGGAGAGGGTATTGCGGAGCTCTTGTGCTGGCGGGCGGGGAGGGAGGCTGGTGCTGGTGCTCGGCGTTGTGAGCTCGCCGTGTCCCCGGGCTCTCGGGGGGGTTGGTGGAGATGGGGGGGTCACAGCAGGCTGATGGCTTTGGGCTGTGGGGCTTCCTAGGGACACCCGGGTTTTGGGGGAGCACACAGCCCGGTTAGGCTGAACTCCCCCCCTCCCATCGAGGCTCATCAAAGATTCATGGATGGGAAGTTTTCTGCTTCCTTTTCTCTCTCTTTTTGTCTTAATATCAGGGCCCGGGAACCCCGTGGGGCACCGTGGGGCTCTCCATCGCCCGCTCAGGAGTGTGTCTGCACCATCCCACACCTGCGCGTGTGCACGGGAGGGTGTTTGTGGGTGTGCGGGGGACAGGGGGGCAGAGGGGGGTGGCCCTGGCTGGAGGACGCCCGCAGCTCTGTGGGATGTGTCTCTCCTGGAGGTCCTGCCGCCCCGACAGCGCTGAAGAGGAGACGGAGGGAACCGCCGGCCCCGCTGGGGCTGTGCCCGAGTTTCGGGGTGTCTGAGAGGGGGTCTCTGCAACACCGTGTCCGGGCTGTGCACACACACATCCCCACTCCAACCATCCCTGGGCTCTCTCTGCCCTTCTCCCGCTGCCTCCTGCGCGGACCCAAACGCTTCTTGGCAGAAAAGTAGCAGAAGTTGAACTGCAGAAGAATTTCGCTCCAAATTTCGCTGGGTTGGGGCAGCTGATTTGCAAGAAGGGTGTGTTTTGACAGCGTTGGCAGCGTCTGAGCATTGTAGCTTTGGGAAGTGTTGCAAGCAAGCGAAGTAAATACGGTCTGTGGAGGTTTGCAGCCGAAAGGGGAGGAGTAGGTGGTTTTGTTTAAAATACTCCCATTACAGTCAGTTAACCTTTGTGTTACCTAAATGAAAATTGTATAAACCTGAAATTTGCGCTGATCGGGTTGCTTAGGAACAGGCGGTTGGTTTTCATAAGACAATGAACACGCAGTCACTGATCGGGCTATTAGGCACCGAGGTGTTTAGCCACAGTATCCTGCTTTGCCGGGGGTAGTCGCGTGCGGGGCGCTCGCCCTCCTTCCCCTGCTGGTGCGAGGGGTGGGGGCGATGCTGGAGACGCGACCCTGCTCGGAGCCGACCCTCCTGGTTGCCCACCACCAGTAGCCCCGTTGCCCAGGTGTGCAAAGAGGATGAGGAGCTGGTTGAGGAACAAAGTTAGAGGCGTAAAGCTCAAGCCTCTAGATTCAGCCTGAGACCTTTACTCTGAGACCAGCGATCCGCATCGTGCAAACGGTAGAGGTGGAGCAGAGGGCGGCTCAGCTCGGGGCTCCCCCACACCCCGCGCGGAGCTGCGCTGCGTCTCTGCACGTTGTCCTTCTGCTCAGCGCACGGACTAAGGTGCAGAGTCATAGAAAGGGGTTGGGACAGCTCTGGTGAGCTCCAAACCGGCTTGGAGGGCCGAGGGGAGCGCAGGGGCAGTCAAGTCAGCCGTGCCAGAAAACGTGGGAAAGTGCTTCATTTCTCCCTTTTCCTACCCAAAAAGAGGCTGGGGCCCAGCACCCGGCGGTGGGGCCGGGGGTCCTGCGCGCCCTGCTGCTGGCCGGGCTGGGTCACCACCTCTCACGGGGTGTTGGCGGAGACGCACGGTGGGGTTCAAGCGGCATGAAGCAACTTCAAAAGGCAGCGGGAGTAACTGGAAGTGAAAGAATGCAGATCGTTTATTAATAGGGTTTACAGAAATTTTCTGCTGGGTAGAAATATTGATTCCTTATTCCTATTTTAAAAGGAGCTTTTTGTAATGATCACCAAGAGTCATTTTCTGTTATCGATTGCAATGGAGCTGTGCTGGAGACCTCCCTCCATTCATTCCACGCCCGCGAGTACCATTGCGAGGGAACGCAGCACAGGTTTTCCTTGCAGGAACAGGGCAACTTCTTAAATCAGCATTTCTGTCACCTTTCCAGCGGGGTTTTGCTGTGTGTGTTTAAAGAGACATACATGTTTGCTCTTTTAAATCCGTTCACGCTATTCTTAAAGTTCACCTTTGAGGGGGAGGCGGTGGTGGGGAGGCAAATGCTAAAAATAAAACTCCCCCCCCCCCCCC